AGGATTTTACAAGTTAAGATAGTGTGTAAGGAAGGAAAATATCAAATTTAAAACAGATACACTGAATGTCTAATATTCATGTCATTTTGGACATCAAACCAATCACTATCGCATTATAATCATCACAATTTCAAATAATATATTGAAGAATATATCTATAATTCATTGAAGAATTCATTTTATCCTTCTTAAGCAAAATATTACTGACAGATTTCGCCAACATCTGTTACATTACTTCCGATTTTAGATTGTATTTACTTGCCAATATCACAATAATTTGAAGATTTTTAGTTGAATTTTTATTTGCTATTAAACAGCCATTCCTCTTAAACTTAACCACTTAATTTTACAAAGAAATGCTGAAAAGTTCTCAACCTAACCAAAATGTGTTCTTCAAATAAAATTCTAATATTTGGTTAATTGGCCACATTTGTAGACGTGAACCCAACCATCTAATTTCCTGCTCTGTGTTATACCAATTAATTTTAGTTGTATTTTAAATTGTTCATTTAAGAACTCATTCTAATGCAACGGAACCAGATAATTCAATTGGACTCCAAGGTTTCACACTATTGATTTCGAGACTGTATTCTTAAATAACTTGATTCTCCAGTTCTTCGAATGACCTTCAGGAATAAAAATTTCTCTTGAAAGTAATTTTTGCCATTAATTTATATAGTTATAAAATAGAAAATGGCATTGATTCTTTGTTGACCAATCGGATGACGACGGATAAAGGAAATACAAGAAAAAAAATGACCAATGAGCGCTGGAATTATTTTTAACATTCCCGAGAGATTACATAATTAGAAGTCCAAACACGCAATTGATGATAAGTGACTAGGCTTGCTTGAGTGAGTTAAAATCGATTGCGTGATTGGATGAATTTTGGCGCGTGAAGAAAGAGTAATTGGACTCTGTTTTGTCTCCCGTGAGTCCAATTTAAGCGATGTGGTTGGCGTTGATAACAAGATAGGAAGCATCGGCTACTAATTGGAGTTAGTGTCTGTAAGCCAATGTCTCCTCGTAAATCGGCGTTTTTTCTTTTTTATTGGTCATCGAAAATGTCAGAACTCACCATAGATGTGGGCTTTCTACAGTTGGCTAAAGTTTGTGAAGACTCGCCCAAATGTTTCAAGTGAAATTTCCTTGGCTCAGTCCGACCGACTTGAACATGCTCACATACTTGAAAATATAGATTTCCATTCTGTCGCAGATCAATGGGTTTTTCGAATCCATTGAACATAGAATATTTGAAATGCTTCCAAAAACTGGTTGTCAAGTATGGATTTTGCCTGCAGAAATGCGTGACATACAGATCTACGTTATGGCAGATATTATTTTGCAAGTCAATGTCTTCACAAGAAAATTGGTATTAATCAGTCGATAATGGTAATATTTTCAGCATTTTAAAGGTAGACGAAGAAAAAAGAAACATATTTCAAGACATCTGATATGAGGTTTTGAATTCAATGAGAGATGACGCTGTCTTTCGAAGCTCAAAAAATTTAATATAATTTGCAATTATTATTTATTTTATATTATTGATTATATATATTATGATTACTGTATTCATTTGAATTTATATATGTTTTATTGTATATAATTTCTTTCAACCATTTCCACTGTTACCGTATTTTTTTCTGTATTAGTATATATTTGATTTCAGAAAACTAACCTGAAGATCGTTTATTTTCTGATTTCATAACATAAAGAGATATTGATCAACATTCCATTTTCTACGTTAGTTAATTTTTTATCAATTGATATTTTAGGTGAAGTAAATTTGTAGAATTTATTTTTGGTATGTTCATGACTTCGTAATTTTCGAGGACCTTTTTCTGAAATCACGATTTATATTGGAAGTTTTTCTATCCTTTTCTGGGTTATGGGTCTGGCTATTTATGTACAACTATTTCGTAATACATAGATGCATACACACACACACACACACACACACACATATATATATATATATATATATATATATATATATTAATGATAATATTATCAATCTTATCAGACGTTATGAAAAGAATTTACATAAACAAATAGACAACACTCGTCTATATTATTTAATGAAACATGTATGAATGAAAAAATGCTGCGTAAACACACACACAATATATATATATATATATATATATATATATATATATATATATATATGTGTGTGTGTGTGTGTGTGTGGTTGTGCGTGTGTAAGTGAAAAGGCATATTGTAATGCACAGGAATCATGCACAGCAATGTGAATCAATGAAAATTAAGGCAAACACATTTTTCGTTTGTCACTTGTGTAAAAAGTCGAAGCTGATCTTGCATGTCACCTTCGGGGTCAAGAACGATGAACGAGAGGAGTTCGAGGTGGTGAGCGAATGGGGTTAGGTAGCTATCATCTGTCAAAATGCGGCGGATCATCATCATGGTATATATATATATATATATATATATATATATATATATATATATATATATATATATATATATATATATATATATATATATATATATATATATATATATATATATATATGTGTGTGTGTGTGTGTGTGTGTGTGTTTTGTGTACTTTTAATAATTTAATAATAAGCAAGGCGATAAAGCAACTAAGACACAAGAGCGCAACTGAGTGTAGGATAATACGAGAAAAAACATATTAAGTAGAGAGAGCAATAAATGAACAGGAATTAGAATGACTAATGTTAACGAGTGACATTGCATTTAAATTTTTGAATATCAAACTTGACTGGGAAGAAAGAAGTGCAAGCATAAAAACTCTACGCATATGTTTCCATCTAACCAGTTTAACAGTAAAATGTCAATCTGGTACCCCGCGTAAATACATAAAATATTGGTACGACAAATGAAATTTAATCATCACGAATGTATTTATAAAAGAAAGGGACAAGGAAGATACGTTACCACGCTGGGGGGATGTCATTGAAGCCGAGATGCCAGGTTAAAACCAATAACATTGTAGATTATTTTTATGAATAGCAGCATCCTTAAACCCAATTTGGCAGCAATATTCACAGCATGGACGAATGGTAGACTTATAAATATATATGATAGAAGAATTGTTTATCACAACACAGTGAAATAAATTTCATAACACAGGCCCTAGCAACTGAGTCAATATAATCTTTCAACATCATGTTATCGGAAAATGTTAGCCTGAAAGGTTGCAAGAAGTCATTAAGCTTAAGGTTACCATCAGTCATGTTGATGGGAGGCAACAATGGTTCACTTAGACGGTTAGATGAGAGCAGGTTCGTGTTGAAGGCATTGGGTTTAACAAGCGATCTTTTACACTAGGTAACAATAGACTGTAGGTCATTTTTTAAAATCACCTCTTAATTTCACTATGGGGCGAAATTAAGAGATGCAAATAGTTGAGTGATCAGCATAGATATCGAAATGACATTTGACGACATCAGGTCATTTATGAACATTAGAAATTATGTAGGCTTATACATCAAGACCTGTGGGACACCTGCATTAATGCAAATAAATCTAGCAGAATGGCAAATGCAAATTAATGTAAAAATATCTAGGAAATTGCTAGATATTGTTGAAATGCTAACATCCATTGATACGTTACTCTGACACTTAGATGTGGCTTTTCTTCAACGAATTTTCCACTTGTAAATAGATTTCCCATATCACCTTGATCGTCAAGAATCGTATCCTTACTGTAGAACATCAGAAACCTGCGCAGTACTGTCCGATTACAAATGGATCCTTCACCCTCTGCTTTGTTAAAGTTGGCAGTCGTTTGAAAAGCGTTAAGATCATGTTTGAACTGAAGATAAAAAAATGTAAATCATACTTATTATAAAACCCAGATTGTGTGTGTGTGTGTGTGTGTGTGTCTGTTCGTTTATATATTGGATCGGATTTCCTACATTTTTCAACCGATTTCAACAAAACTTCACAGGACTACGTAAATTTACCTTGCGGTGGTTCTGACAGCGGTAAAAATTGAAAAAACCCAATTGTTTTTGCACGAAATCAATTTCAAAACACGATTAAGAGGCATTAATGAAAGGGGGACAACTCATAACGAGTTATACTAATTATAAAACCCAGGTTGGTTGTGTGTGTGTGTGTGTGTGTGTGTGTGTGTGTGTGTGTGTTCGTTTATATATGGGATCGGATTTCCTACATTTTTCAACTGATTTCAACAAGTGGCAGATAATGTTTCTTATTGTCTTGCACACTTTTTTTCTTTATTTTTACATGCAGAATGCTTTAAAAATTCCATTTACATGATAATTGTTTATAATAAAATTCTTTTCAATCGGTAGATTCATAACGATTGAAAACAATGTTTTTGTTTGAGTCTGGGTTTGACTAATTCGAAAAAAAAACAAAACTTATTAAGACATGCGTGTCCGTCAACCTTAAACTATAATCTTTGTCAATTTTATTTTTCAGTCTTTATGATGGTCGATACTTGATATATCTCCTACTGTTACATCCCCGGGCAATGCCGGGCTCTACTGCTAGTATATAATAAGTAAATCATAATAATATTTTGGATAATAATGTTTTAGTGCTACACGTCTTACTAATTAACCCATATCAGGGGAAAAAATAGATGGATTTGTACATCTCCCAAGTATACTTGCGCAAACCCAACAAGAAATGAAACTCAACTGCTAATTAATAATTGCGTGCCATTATCCATTACAGCCCGCGCATATCTAAGCTTACATCACCTGGTATTCCAAAGCGGATACTCATTTAGGTACTGACCAGGCTCGAAGTTGCTTAAAATTGGTGATTGTACGGGAACTCGACTCTTTGATTAACAACTCCGAGCAATTATCCATAACACCAACCGCACATCCAAGCTTACAGCACCTGGTATTTCGAAGTGGTTACCCATCTAGAAACTGACCTGGCTCAACGTTGCTTAACTTGGGTGATTTTACGGGAACGCGACACTCTGATTAATAATTCGGAGCCACTATGTATTACACACCCGCACATACATGCTTACAACAATTGGTATACCCAAGGTCACCCACCTAATTACTGACCGGGTTCGTTGATGCTTAACTTCGATGATCATACGGGAACCGGTGTTTTGAACGTGATATGGCCTTAAGACTTTCCTTCAGCCAAACATGTGATATTTTTCGTTGATATAGTATCGGTGAAACTTTTATAGCAAGGTCAACAATGACTCTTTCTTTCTTTCCCGCCTCTGCTTTTATCTTGACACCATCATCAACTTTGGAGGGAAAAATAACTCTAATGTCTTCTTTAACGTTTTGTTGCTGCACTATTTTCAGAAAAAATCCTAATTTCTAATCCAACCCAAACAACCAATCCAAATTTAGATCAACACACGTCATTGTGATGTTTTCTTAACAAATTTCTTTCTGAAGCGTGTTGAAATTCTTACAGAATTAAGTTTATTTTGTTGAAATTATCGCTAACATTTTGTGTCGAAATATACAAACTCTACGTTTCTTTCAATTTCGCAAACCAATCGATAAAATTTAAATAATCGGATTAGTTTTGAAAAAAAATGTTTTAACAAAAAACCTACTTCGCGGTTTAATAAATTCTTTAACTTAATTTCAGACGACTTGATGGCAAACAATACATTTTTTTTTTCTTTTTAACAGAGAAGAATATATTCTAAAGATTTCTTACTTTTGAGCATACGACATACAATTGGCCATGCGTAAATATTTCTTATGGGGGCCAAATTCAAAACTTTTGAAGAGTTCGGCCTTGGGATTTGATTATAATCCTTGCAAACGCGGGGCGAAATGAAAACTTTCTTTTAGCTTTCGATTTTGATGCGGGGTGACAATACCGGATTTCTCACCAGACACTCAAGGGCCAGCCTGAAACCCTTCGCTTGTAATCTTCCTCCGCCCATTTTATATATATATATATATATATATATATATATATATATATATATATATATATATATAAAACTCGCCAGAAGACCCTCTTCCTATTCATACTATAACTCTTTCTTTTAACTTTCACTTTTGATGCAGGGGTGACAATACCGGATCCGTCACCAGAAGCCCTTCGTCATTTATTTATTTATTTAGCGGATCAAATTTCCGGTTTAATTATAACTAGCACTGGTCTATCACATTGATCCATGAAAGACTGGCGTGCCCCTATTTGCCGTGTTGACCATTTTCACTGGGGGGTGGCGTCAACAGAAGACTATTCCCAGAATCAATTAGCCCACATAGTAGTAATTTCTAGTGTTGCTAAAATCCATTCTTTTTATTTTCCCATATATATATATATATATATATATATATATATATATATATATATATATATATATATATATATATATATATGAGAAGAGGTTATAGCAATTTCAACTAGAGAAAAGTGTGTATATTAAAAAGAAGAGGGAAACCGCAAAGGTTTGGTTGTAATGTGGATTTTCCAAAAATTTTGCTACACGCGTTTCTGGCTTTGTGACCTTCATCAGGCAAAGAGTGGATATTTCCACATATTATTAAAAGGAATTAATTTTCCTTATGTTTATTATTCGATGTTAAATATTCTCGATATTAGACATTCTCTTTTTGTGAGTTAGTGACACAAATGTCAAAATGGTAATATATATATATATATATATATATATATATATATATATATATATATATAATTACCAGAATGAAATATGTATCAAAATAAAAGAAAAGATATACCAAAAATAATATAATTATTATATAAGTATTTCGTATTATAATCATTAAATTTTTTAAATTGTTTGAGTATTTCGAATGTGAAGTAATAGAACTTTTAATTTTCCACCAAAACAATGGAAATTAACTGTACTAAGTTACCCCAACGAGCAAAACCAACAAGTCTTTGTACCCTTTTAAATGTTTGCACATCTTCTCAGAATTTTGGTTTCGATCGGTCAATCTATGGTTATTTTAGAGGGTGCGATGTGAACGGACGGACTAACGGGAGTTAAATAATATAATAATTGGATAAAATGTTTTGAATTTCGTTTCTTTTGTCTCAGTTGTTTAATCTCAATTTATTCAATGTTGTTCAGATCTTGCTCATTTTTCTTTGAATACAAAATCAATCAGCATTCCACTCAATTGATTTTTTTCATATCGCTTTTTGTAAAATTCTTAAAGTTGTTTGTCACATTTTCTTTTCATTTTTTTTCTATTTTTTTTTTTGTTGACTGAACTATCGTAGAGCTTTGTTCGAATTCTAGTCGAGATTATCTGAAGCGCAAATACCATTGAGAGAGTTATGAATCGATTTCTTTTGCACGGTTATGTGTTGAATATAGTAGAACGTGTATCTGGCAGGAATTATTGTTATTCTCAATAAATGTTAATGCAATATTCACTCGAAAAAACAAAGAATTATTATTATGATTCTCAATATATTTCGATTTCAAATCTCCGCGAAGTGGAGACAAACTGTAGAAGCCAAATCGATCAATCAATCAACCTCTCTGCCCCCCGCCACACACACACACACACACACACACACACACACACACATATATATATATATATATATATATATATATATAGCCTGACGATGTCGATTTTATAATTATATTATATTAGAAATATAGAATTGTGGCAATTTCCCCATCGAACCATATATATATATATATATATATATATATATATATATAGATAGATAGATAGATAGATAGATAGATTGATTGATAGATTCTCAAATTTGTAGTTCTGATGAATTGGATCGTAATTACAATTACAATGTAATAAATTATAACCATGAAATATTAGTGTTCAAAACTTTTTATTATATTTTATTATATATATATATATATATATATATATATATATATATATATATATATATATATATATATATATGTTTGTGTCTCTGTGTGAGTATGTGTGTGTATGTGTGCTTGTGTGTGTCTGTGATGGTTAAATTGTCTCCATTTTATATTTTTAGTTTCGCTTTGTTTTTCTTTGATTTTTTGACTTTATGTCCAGTTGAGAATCTTCTGAAAGAAAAAGTGCACTATGACGCAATTGAATCTGCCAAATATTTTGAAATGACATACTGTACTGCTTGTCATTTGCGCCGGAAGCTCCAATACAAAGTTTTATTATCCGTGCTAAGGAATATATACTTGAAAAACAAGGTAGATAAAATAAGTAAAGGTTGATTGTGAAAACCAGTACAATAAGAATAAAGGTAACAGTTATGCACAAGGTCGTCGCAAATCTACCCAGAAGTGAGTGATACTATTGGAAGGTCAGTAGTTCTCGCGTATGTCTGAGTCGTACTCAACAGTTCCCAGCTAGAAATATTTACCAACCTCCCTACGGGGTACGATGTCGAAAAAGGCAGAATTTAATATGGGGCAATCCGAGTCTTTAGGCTCGGCCAAAAATCCCTGTAAACCCCGCATAAACAGGTTCGGGTCTGTCTGTCTCCCCGGACGAAACTCTGCCCTTCGTCATAGGATCGGCCGTGTTCCTCTCTGTTCCAAGACAGAGAGTTCGGCAACAGCTAAGAGCTGAGTAACAGATCCCAGCTAGTAACATTTACCAACCTCACCACGGCAAAGATGCTGCATCAGGCCGAATTTGATATGAGGCAATCCGATCCCTTATGCTTTGCCAAAATATCCCCGTAAACCCCGCACAACTGGTCCCCCGTCTTTCCACTTCCCCGAAGGATACCGCGCCCCTAGGCACAGCCCTACCCAGCCTCCCCTCCGCCGAAGGTAGAGAGCTCGACAACAGCCAAGAGCTGAGCTATAGATCCCAGCTAGTCTCCTTAGTCCGTTCACTTACAGATACTTATAGGGAGTTACTACCTATAGTGTAGTCACTCATGGAGGTGACAGGTTATTCCATTACATCCTAAAAATTTCAGAGTGTTTGGTTTTCAATCTGACGTCAATGCTGAGGATTCAGAAAGAGTTGGTGAATCTAATGGTGATTACGGAGAGGTTTGGAGTGATCACTAGTGATGGCAACGTTATGCCTCCAGTCATCTTCCAGCAGGGCCTCAGACTCATCAGGGAAGACTACATCAAATGCCTTGAGGAGGTACTCTTGCCCTGAGTTAAAAGGGTGGCTACTGGAAAAAATATGCCTAAAAAAAGGACTCTTCACCATGCTATACCATCAGGAGATCGCAGTCATGACTGTACATTTCTGCGACCATATCACTCCTGACATCTGGCCACCTAATATAATATGTGGGGTGCTGTTGAGCGACAGACCAAAAGAATTCCTTGTAACACCAAAGATGAATTGAAGGCAAGAATTATAGCAGAATTCATCATCATAAGCAAGGATGCCGTCCAGAAGAATTGCAGGAGATTACGGAGTTGTTTTGAGTCCGTGGGTGAAGCCAATGGCAATTTTATTGCATAAATGTACTATTTCCTATTTCAAGATATTTTTCTGTAATTTTGGTAAATATATCCTTTGAAATTAGATGTTAGTGTCATTTTCATTTTTCTTAATTTAGAAAAAAATTACCTCATGTACTATATATATATATATATATATATATATATATATATATATATATGAAGAGAGAGACTTTAATTATCCATTTCGATTATAAATTTATTTTGTGAACACAGAGATGTTCAACTCTTCGGATCGAATTCTTGAAATATGGATAATTAACGTCTCCGTCTCGGAATTATTGCTTCCACTCACAAAACTGGTAAGACACACACATGCGCGCACACGCACACAAACACACACACACACGCAAAAACACACACAATATATATATATATATATATATATATATATATATATATATATATATATACATACTTAACAGATATGATGAAAACCACATCATCGTTAAGTATACCTATTACAAGATATCAATGTAACGCTTCGTTGTGTTTCCAAGACATTGCTCTTAAAAACGGAGAAACTGTTAAGAACTTTGCTCCAACGTTGACAGACATGAGACAGGCATTTTGTTGTCATTAGTTTTAATTTGTATTTGTCTTTTTATCCCACTAGCTTACCTGGAAACCTTTCTAAAAATGAGGAATTAATGTTTAATATATGTTGGTAACATAATTGTTGGTCCATCCTTTACCCTAGAAGAGTTGTCCAA